CCCCTCTGAACACCGCCCTACCCAGGCCCAGATCCACTCCATAGTCTGCACACCTAAGCACACCCCTACCCAGGCCCAGACCCGCCCCCCAGTCCACCCATCTGAGCATACTGGCACCCAGGCCCATGGCCCTGAGCATACCCTGGCCCAGGCCCCAGCCAAGGTTTCCTCGCATGCCTTAGGCCACTCCATGGACTACATAGGTGAGCATCTAACAGTCCATACCCCAACCAGCAACCCTGCTCATCTGACCTATACCCATGCCCACACGTTGGTCCCTCCCCCAACCTCTGCCCCAGACCCTCCTCTAACTTCTGCCCTTGCTACTACTCCTGCCCCAGCCTCTGTTCCAAAATTTGCTTCAATCCTCGCCCCAGCACTGGTCATGACCCCAACTACCACTCCAGTTCCTACTCCTACCCCTACCTCCACCCTTACCCACAGCCTAACTCCTATTCCCTCTACCCTGACTGTCTTCAATCAAGACCTCTCCACTGGCCATGTGATCTATGCTACCCCCATGGTAAAGAAGAACTTATTCTATGGGTGCCCCACCCAGAACACTGGGTATTCCAGAAAGGACTTGGGTACCCTCTTCAGGCCCCAAGACAGAGAGGGCCTGGTAAACTCTGGTAAAGTCGAGCAAACATCGAAGCAACTTAGTGGGGATACTGCCAACACCTCCACAGGATCCATAGTAGGTTACCCGGAGTTGGAGAATATGGGATGGAATAACTCAAATGATGCCAAAGACAAGTTCTTACAGCCTAAGACCTTCCCGTACCGCAGCTTCCAGCCTTGCAATTCTGAGAGGAGAGAAACAGACCCCCAGCCTCCAGTCTACCCCAAATTCCTGGTCTACTCCAAGGATGCTTCACCTTCTCAACCTTGCTTTCATTCTCCCACCAGTGTCCAGAATTCAGTGTACACTGCTCCTCCACCATGCACTCTTTCTCTCCCTCTTGTTTCTCCCAGATCCTTTGTTCTTCAACAATCTACCAACCACCAGGTGAAGCCCTCCACCTCAACACAAACCCCCACCTTACCCCCAATCTCGATACCCTCTTCCCAGTTTCCCATTCCTTCCCAGTTCTCCACCATTTTCCAACCCCCAATCCAACCCCAATCTTCTGAACTTCATGAGAGACTGGGCCTCACCCAAGACTCTGGCCTCCTAAGAACCGCAGGCCCTTCCAAAGACTCTCGAGTTTCCAAGAACCCAGGCCTCGATCAAGATCCAGGCCTAACAAAGCTGCCAGGCCTTACCCAGCATCCTCATCTCTGCAAGAGTTCAGGGCCTGCCCAAGACTCTGGCCTTCGCAAGAATCTAATCACCCCAGAGCCTGGCCCGGAAAAGCACCTAGGTCCGCCTCAAAATGTAGGTATTCTTAGGAGCCCATGTCTCACCCAACCCTCTGGCCTCCATAAGAACCTAACATTTCTCCAAAATTCTGACATTCAGAGGAGCCCAGGCTTTGTGCAAGAGACTGTGCTCTGCAAAAGTCAAGATCACTCCCAAACAACTGGCCTCCACCACAGCCCCGGCCTTTCTCAAGATTCCGGAGGTTACAAGAGTACAGGTAATGCCCAAGACTGGGGAGTCTCCAGAAGTCTAGGCCTTGCCCAAGATTCTGGCCCCCAGAAGAGCCCATGCCTTGCCAAACACTCTGAAGGAAACAAGAGCTCAGGCCAGGAATCTGGTCACTTCAAAAGCCCGGGCCTTGCCCAGACCTGTGGCTTCCATAAGGGCTCAGGCCTCACCAAAGACTCAGGAGACTACAGAAATCTAGGCCCGACTAAAGATTCTGACCCCTATATGAATCCAGGCCTTATCCAAGCCAATGAAGCAAAAAAGAAATGTGGCTTTGCCCAAGATGTTGGAATTCACAGGAGCCCAGAACATATTCCAAACCCTAACTTCCACAAGCACGCAGGAATTAATCAAGACCCTGGCCCACAGAAGGGCCCAAGCCTTACCCAAGACTCTGGCCTCCCCACGACTCACAGCCTTACCGAGAAATCGAGCCTCCACAAGGACTATTACCTTATCCCCAATCCTGACTTCCACAAGAACCCAGGCCTTGCTCTAGGTACTAACTCTGTCCAAGTCTTGGGTCCCTCTCAGATTCCAAAGCCCTTGCTGCCCTCGACGAAGTCATTTGTATGTGAGGAGACTCCTCGGAAGAATGCAGAGCAGCATCTCCCACGGACTCCTGACCCGCTCGGTCAGTACTCCTGCCCTTCCAAGGCCCAGGTGATCTACAGTGACCTGCAAACCTTCTCAGAGGTACCTGTATTGATTGAGTTACAACCATCCTCCCATCAAGTAGGTGGCCAAGAGTGGGTGTACCGTCCTGTGGATACAGCTCCTCCAGCTAGCCAGATCTATCACCAGATGGCTATGCCTCCCAAACCCAACTTGAAGACTCACTGCGCTGGGTCAGGCAACCGGGTAGGGCATGTGGTCTTCGATGCCCGCCAGAGGCAGTTCGGAGTGGGCAGAGACAAGTGTGAAGCTCTATCTCCCAGGCGCCTTCGCCAAGAGGCACCCAGCAACTCAGCGGAGAACACTGAGTGGGGATATCAGTGTGTAATGAGGCCCTCGGAAAAAGAGGGGACCAAGGTGCATTAGGAATAAAGAGGGGAGAGAAATGTTCTGTGATTGATTGAGGACATCCACCCCAGCCCCACTGCTGACACTGGCCACTCTCAGGGTCTGATGGGAGCTGGAACTATACTTGCCCCTTTTCCTCCAAAGCTGCAGAGCTAAACCCATGATCCCCAAGGCCCTGGAGCTGCATTTTCCAACACACTAGCCATTAGCTATCCATGGCTTTTAGAATGTAAATTAATTAAAATTAAAAAAATTTAAAATTCTGTTTTTTTGTTTCATTATTTACATTTCAAGTGCTCAATAGACATGGGTGGCTAGTGGCTACTACATTGGACAGGACAGATTTAGGACATTGTCATCATTACAGCAAATCCTACTAGGCAGTAATGCTTTAGAGTTTAGAGTCACTTTCCTTTCCCTGTCACCCATCCCCAGCTTCTTCAAAACTCCCACAGAGCCCAGAGAACGTAATTCTAATTTTTAGGGTGGCTCAGAGGCCACCTCTGGGGAGGAGGTAAGATGTAGGGATGCCAGATGCCTGATTACCCCAGAATGTGAGAGAGAGCCCAGTCTTCAGTTTTCCTGATCTGGTCTCTCGGGTCACAACCGGATGTATGGAAACCTGCCTCCCCAGTTCTGGGCAGTGTTTGGGGCTCTGAGTTGCTAAGGGAGAAGAGCTCTCTTTGTCAGTGACTAGGAACGCCTGAGACCTGGGCTTCCCAAATTGAGCTCTGGATTCTGAGAGTCCCTTCCTTTACAGGCCTCTAATTTTTCTAGGTGTTTCTGTTTAATTCTCTTGCCCATGGGCTATCACTCCAGGGATAGTCCCCAGGGGAAGGGGTATGTAAGAAGTCCTCGTCCCCCAATGCATAGGTCTGATCTGTAAGCCTGTCCCTGGTGTCCTAACTTTTGTCCCGTTATTCTGGCTCCCTTGTCATCCTGGACTTAAGCTTCGTCCCTGAAAGCATTGGTAACCAAAAACAATTTTCTTCCCCATAATTTCCCTGTGCTCTGCCCCCCCCCCCCCCCCCCCCCCGCCCAACTGGGAGTTTCCTCTGGGTTTGATTTTCAGTCCTGATAACTCATCTGTGTACACACCAGGTATGAGATTCCAAAGTGTTTTTCCCGTCACCACACATGTGTCACTGAGGTGGGTATCATTAATATGTCCCCTCCCCGAGTCAGATGTCCACTCCTGGGTCACCACCTGTGTGTTCTTGCCTCACACGACTACCACCGACTCCAAGGGGAGTTCCTTTCTAACACCTCTCTGGCTCGGCTCTGACCTTGGGCGGGTCATGTGCAGCCTCTCTAGGACGCAGTCTCATCTCCAAGATGCAGTTCTAAGTACATGGAAGAACCCTTCTAGACCTACATGACCAGGGCTCCGCTACTCACATGGGATAGAGGGGCCCCTGTTTCTCCCCAGGCCCTGAGGTGTGTCCACCATTATTGTTTGCTATTTAGATATATCCTATCACCCTTCTGCTCCAACTCCAAGGAATGTTTGTGTGGTTCTGACCTGGGCTTGGAAAGAAACAGAACAGTTTATCTCCATAGAAACTCCAACTCCACCAGGCACTTGAGAGGAACAGTAAAGGATGTGGGGGCGTAGCCCCATCGCTCTGGTAACGCGGAACAAACTGCAACGCCCCGGCCAGCGCGAGATCTGAAAAGAGCGAAGGCAGTGTTGACAGAGGCGGGGCCGGCCCGGGCCACCTGGACGGCTCCTAGAAAGGGGCGAGGCTGGAGCTCCGGGGCGTGGCCCTGCGGGCAGCAGGAAGAAGCTACCTGTTGGATTGCTCTAGTCTAGCTATTCTCTTCCCAGCTCTCGCAGTTGCCCCTGAGGGAAGCCGCAGACCTGAAGCCTTTTCCGAAAAAGGGGTCCGGGGAGGTAGACAGGGACGCCGGAGGGCTATCACGTGCCGAAGGAGGGGTGAGTCCGGTGAACCGGCCCAGGGGGCGGGGACCAGAATAGGAGAAAGGGCAAGGACAGAGGAGGTCTTTATTTGTTCGTTTTCAAGACGGAACTCACAGCCCTTTATCTGCAGACCCGTTGGCGCACCTGCCTGAGGCGCTCTGTCGGCCTCGGGAGGAGAGAAGAGCGGAGGTGCCTTTTGGCCGGTCAAGGCTTCCTCTCGCCTGTGTGGTTCCCCGGCCCCAAACCATAGAGCCGCATGGCTTCCGCGGTCTGGGGGAGTGCCCCCTGGTGGGGCCCGCCGCCCCCGGCCCCAGCCCGCCCGCTCACGGACATCGACTTCTGCTCCGGAGCGCAGCTCCAGGAACTGACCCAGCTCATCCAGGAGCTAGGAGTGCAGGAGAGCTGGAGGGACGGGCCCAAGACGGGCCCAGACCTCCTCCGGGCCAAGGACTTTGTTTTTTCTGTACTCGGTGAGTAACCCTCCCCGGCTTCGGAAACGCGCCGCTCAGCCCCGCCCCGGAGTTGCGTATCACAATCCCTTCTCTTCCCGCAGGTCTGGTTCACCGCCGAGACCCCCGTTTTCCGCCCCAAGCCGAGCTCTTGCTGCTTCGTGGCGGGATTCGCGAGGGCTCCGTGGATCTGGGGCCTTCACCCCTCGGCCCCTATGCCCGGGGGCCTCACTACGACGCCGGCTTCACCCTGCTGGTGCCCGTGTTTTCTCTCGATGGCATCGGGCAGGAGTTGCAACTGGACATGGAATCCTGTTATGCCCGGCTCTGCCTCCCGGAATCGATGCAGGGAACCTCGGTGCGAGAGGCGTGGCAGGACTGCCTGGGACCCCCAGTCCCAGGAGGACGCGAGTCGGCCCCCCGCACCGAAAGCGAACAAAGTCCCCAGGATCAGCAAAGCTCCGTGGACCAACCGCCCGGTGACGTCACCGAGCTGGACCCGCACGTGCCTTTGGAAAAATCACCTGGTAACCGTTCCGGGCCCGAGTCGCCTCGGCCAGATGTAACCGACCTCGGCTTTCCCGCATCCCCGAAAGAACTGGGTGGTGACGTCACCAAAGCAACCACGGAGAGTCCCGCACCGCCGCTGTCGGAGGCTCCGGAGGCGTGGCCCACATTGTGCCCGGCCAAGGTGGCTGCGTGGTTCTTCGCTGTGCTGGCTGAGGTCGCCGAGACCCTGATCCCGGTCCCTGGTGCCCCGCTCTTGGTCCACGCAGCCCGCCACGCGGGATTCACCACCATCCTCCTGGCTACTCCAGGGCCCCCACGCCGTGTCCTGCTTTTCGACCTGATCCCCGTAGTGTCCGTGAATGGCTGGCCCGAGGGGGCTCGGAGCCACTCGTGGGCCGGCCCGCTGGCCTCCGAGTCGTCGTCCTTCTACCTGGTGCCGGGCGGGGACACAGAGCGGCTGGGCGCTTCCGCTGCTCCCGCTGGTGGCCGGGACCCGGGCCGCGGCGCCCTACCTTCTGCGGACGTTACTCTACTGGGCTTGCGAGCGGCTGCCTGCGCTCTATCTGGCGCGGCCGGAGAATGCCGGCGCCTGCTGCCTGGGGCTGCTGGATGAGCTGAGCCGTGCGCTCGAGGCCGGGACTCTGCCCCACTATTTTCTGAGCGGCCGAAAGCTCTGGGCAGGGGACAGCGCGGCTGCGCTGCTTATGGCGTTGGCCCGGCTTCGTGGGGACCCTGCCCGGGCCCTGTGCGCCACGGTGGAGGAGGCCAAGACTGCGCGCAAGGGGGGCGGCTTAGCTGGTGTGGGAGGCGGGGCCCATTAAGGACTCCTACCAGCATGGAAAGTCCCTCACTTGGGAGACACTTAGCACCCTGGACCCAAAATTCCGTTCAAGAAGGCATCCTTGCGGTTCCTCCCCATCATTCCACTCGCCTCGCGCTCCATCCCGGGTACAGGTCTTTCCCGTCTGGCTTCCCTGCTCTCCAAACCTGTGGCCAGCATCCCTCTTGCCCTAGTACAGCCTCTAGCAACTATCTCCCCCCAATTCTTACGGTCTCTTCGGAGTCTATAGGCGGGAGGGGGAGGATAAGTGGAAAGGAGAGCGGTATGGAGATCGGAGACAGACTAACTCGTCTCACACAAAAGCAGTCATATTAAGGAGGCCGGATTTCGCCCCAAGCTGGATCTCGACTCCCTCCCCCCAGTCTCTTCAGTTATTACCCCCACTTTCCTCATTCAGTCCTGTCCTCCCATCCTGGGCCGTAGGGTCCCTTCACTCTCTGGGTGTTCACCCTTCCATTGATCTTAAGCCCCATTTCCCTCCCCTCATCCAGGGTTCCATTCAATGGAGTCACCTTGGTTCCTCCTCCTCTGAACACCCAGATATGCGGCCCTGCCTCAGCTCCCCCTGCCTCTAAGGAACCCCAGGGTTCCTCCCGCCCAACTTAACCCCCTTTTCCTGGCGTCTCCGCCCCCTGCCCCGCCCCCAGGCTGGCTCTCGGAGAAGTGCGAGATGCGGTTGCGATTGCCGCGGCCGCCTCAGCTTCCCACTGTCGCTGCTGCTACTGCTGCCGCCTCTACCGCCGCTGCGCTGGGTCCAGCCGCCAGGCCGTGCTCTGATTTTGCCGGACCAGGGCGCTCTGCGGGGACACCTTCACTCTTCTGGGGGCCCAGGACGCCTAGCCGGGCGTGGAGGGAAGCTCCGTTTGCGGGGGACAGGGAGGGAGGAGCCTGGAACCCGGGCCAGCACCACCCGTCGCGGGATCTACAGGACAGGACAGGTGGAGGGGCGTCGGGGAAAAGGGGGTTGCTATAGGTAGTCCCAGGGAGGAGGGGGGAAGCCCTGTAGCAGCGATGCGCTCAGATTTGTAGGGGGCCTGTTCACATTTGGGAACTGGTGACTTGGGCGCACTCTTTTGCGGGGCTGGTTGGACTGGAGGGGGTGGGATCTAAACAGCACCAGCTGTTCCTGAGGAAATTAAGGGGCGGCCGGAGGGGAAAAAAAAAACCCACCACCAAAACGGATGCTCCTTATTTCCAGGTTGACAGAGGGCCCCCCAGACACCTACCTGGTGTATCCACCAGGAAGGGTGGATTTGGAGGTGACTTCAAAAATAGTGGAGGGTAACATGGGCTCAGCAATTTGAACCCTGAGCCACTAGAAATGGGGGTGACTTGGTGAGAAAAAAAAAAAGGTATTGTCTAGAGACGGAGTCTGATAACCCGTTCTCACTGAACAGGAACAGCCTGGATATTCCAAGACATAGTTTGGGGGGATTTCAGTGGGGAAAAGTGGGAGACCCTCTTCACTTCGAGGGTGGCAAAGTTGGGCTCTTCCCTGACCCTGGCAGGGCCCCCGCAGGGGTGGGGTGAGCTAATATTCCCAAAGCTAAGGATCCACAGCCTTTAGATCATAGAAGTGGATTTGGCAGGAGTTCAGGGGCCCTGAAATAGGGTGAAAAGATGCCTGGGGGTGTTGGAACCACGTATTGGAGATGTTGAGGGTTATGACTTTGGGATAGGGTAAGTGGGGACAGAGTACTGGAGAGCAGGGGAGGGGGCAAAAGTCCAGGTGGGGTTGCCTGAGAGGTACGTAGGCTGCTGGATCCGGTGGAGCCAGCAAGGGGGCCCGAGGGTGCGAGCCTTACTTGGAAAAGCCTAGGTGGCTCTTTGTGATTGGTTGTCCTTAGTTTTCAAATTAACTCTGAGGCCTTTATAAACTTAGGTTTTCGTTTGCTTACTTGGGCTGCTAAAACATTAGAACCTTCTCAGTCTAAAGGC